TCGACGTCAATGGTACCGGCCAGAGTGAGATCGGTGTCCTCGCGAAGCAGCGGACGGTCGGCGGTCGGACGGCAGATGAGTGGCTCGAACGAAGCGGCGATCTGCTGCCGACTCAGGCCTTGGTCGAGTGCCGCGGCAGTCTGGAGGTCAGTTGAGGGATAGGGCCAACAAGAATGGGCAATCGGCAGCAGATGAAACAGAAATGAAGAAAATCCCGACATTTTTATGTCACTGAAAATCTTCTTTTTGAGGCAAAAGTAGGCGGAAATGGTACCAAAAGGACTGCGACAGCAATCAGCGCATCGTCATGCAACCAAGACCCATTCGAGTGCAGCACGTTATTCTCTCACCATCACATTTTGTATGAAAATACAGCATGAAAGGATTCGTTGATTGATTCCTGTTGCTATGCCTTCATTTTTTACACACGACACACACAAACACACACACGAACATACACACTTGAGTAAAGCTGCCACAACCAAGATGAAAGCAAACTAATTGAATAATAGTTCATCTATCTATCCACGTCTATATATTTCAGTCGAGAATATATAGCACGGAGGATAGAGTCGGAATTTCATCTTGACCTCATGTCAACTTGAGACTTTTACAAGAATGTGTTCCAGCAGTGAAGATGTTCATCGTATGATAGACGAAAGCTCAGCCCATTTTTATCGTTAAACGAGACCGGATGTCTCGTGGATTATCTCAATCTAAAAGTCATGGTAAAGTTAAACGGCTGTAGAACGGAAATCGGCCGTCTTTTTCTGGGCAGATCGAAAAAGGAATCACTTCATTATGCATTTTCGTAAAAAATACAAGTTTCCACAAAAAGTTATCTCATAAAATTCCTCAAAACCGATACCAATATTATCCCGTCCTGCCACTTTTGCAGACGAAAAGAAATAATAAAATAAGAACTAACATAATACATGTTCACCCTATTTCTTTTAAGTTGATCAAAAGTGGTCGTTGAATTTCGCTTTCATCGAACTTGACACGGCAACCCCAGTGGAACTGGAACCATGACAGCGCAGCGCATAATCTTGACACGGTAATCACTGCGCCAAATTGCCACGAATGTCCTTGGAAGACGTAAATTTCAAAGAAAGTTATGCATTTTTCCATATCACATTCTAAGGTGGGATTGTCGGTGAAGCTAAGCTATATTTGCTGTAGCAATC